GAGTACAGTAAAGGATTCAGAGATGCAGCTTGGGCTTTTATGCTGGCTGGTGATCCATATCCATCAGTTAAGAACTGGATCTCTTAAGTTCAGTTGCAGGGGGCAAGCAGGACTTAAAAGCCTACATGTCCTCCTGCATCAAGGTGGATGGTTAACGGCTGTAACTCTGAATTTGTAAATGTGAGGTTAACTTTTAATACGATGACCAAAGATACTGATTTGTTTGCCAGTTTACAATCTTAGCTTTTAACTCTATTTGTTCTACCAAGCACAACAGAGCTTCCATTTGGGAAAATGCAACATTTAGTCCTTTGTAAAGTATGTTGGGAGTCCCTGAGTGGTGCAGTTACTCTCAGCTGTTAATCAATAGGTTGGAGGTTCAAGTTCAATAAGAGGGTCCTTGGAAGGAATGACTGGTGATCTACTCCCAAAACACGAGCCATGACACCTCTATGGAGCACAGTTCTACTCCGACACATACGGGGTTGCCATGAGTCAAACTGAATTAACGGCAATTGTTTTAATGCACCTTGGTTTCCTTTCCCTACAGAGTTAACATAGTTCAATGGTGGTTTCAGAATTTTTGTGTATCGGGGCAGTAATGTGATTACAAGGAGGTGCCTAGTGGATTCACCTTGAAGATGTGTTTGCATTAAAAAATTTTGTTCTTTATATTTCCATTGTATATCTTTGTTTAAAAAAAAAATCAGTTTGAGGATTTTAAAGCCTTCTTTTCCATTTTGAATTTATCATTTTCCTAGGTAGATATGGGGATGGTAGGGTGCTAATAGAAACCCATCAAAAGGCTAAATTCTGCCAGCTTCCCCTTAGCACCAAGCACACTGGCATCGAGTCAATTCCAATTCACAGCAACCCTGATCAAGTTTCCAAGGCTGTAAATCTTTATGGAAGTAGATTGCCTCATCTTCCTCCCATGGAGCAGCTGGTGGGTTTGAACCACTGACCTTTTGGTTAGCAGCCCAATGCCTTAACTGCACCACCACCAGAGCTCCTATCCCCTGGGCACAGTCACTGATAACCTTCCAGGTTGTTGTTAATCACCATGGAGTCACTGCCAACTCAAGATAGTGCTCTATAGTAGTAGTATGTAAATCTTTCAAAAAGGTTCGGCCTCTAGAATACACCCCTTTGCTCCTGCTATATTATTCCATCTCAGTCCTTTAGTGCACCCTAAAGAACTAAACACTGAACCCTGTAGATGAACAATTTATTTTATTCATATTAACTAAAACAACCAAACTCAGTGCCATCAAGACAGTTCCAACTCATAGCAAGCCCTCCTTGAGTTTCTGAGGCGGTATCTCTACAGATAGATTGCCCAATCTTCCTTCCGAGGAGTGGTTGGTAGGTTTGGACCACTAGCCTTCTGGTTAGCAGTCAAATGCCTTAGGCAAGGTTATAATTTTAAAAATTGAAATTGAAGAATCAGAAAATATGTAGCATTATATCTACTAGGTTTGATATAATCAGCATGCTCAGTATAATCTGAAATATGATTATATGATGCATGTTTGTGTAGGTATACTCCATGTATACATGT